ATACACAGACACACTTATGTGTATGGCATACGTATGTATGTCTGTGTGTGATACATGTATGATGTATGCACATAGCCCTTGCTTTACTTAGGTGTCAGCATTTCTTCTTTCATCCCACTCTTTCTCAAGAACCAGTTCCCTTTCCTTGGGACAGCAGATAGGTTGCTGGTCTCCTCCCTGGCCCAGGGGCTTCTCTCTCTCTCTCTCTCTCTCTCTCTCTCTCTCTCTTTCTCTCTCTCTCTCTCTCTCTCTCTCTCTCTCTCTCTCTCTCTCGCTCTCATTTGTCAGCTCTTGGTGTGCTTAGTGACTGCATTGTTTCCTCTAGAAATGCTGTTGTAGAACTGACCCACATGGTTCGTCAAAATCTCTACCTCTAGCAAGGCAGTAGATTTGCCAAAATTATGACCTTTCTTTTGCTAAAATTCTTCAGTGTCCTCATTTCATAACCAGGTTTCTGCCTGACATCCTCTGTTAAACACAGCTCTGCCCTTCCTGCTGAGTCAAGCTGTTTACGCCTTGCCTCGCTTGCTGTGCCTTTGTCTCTAGCTGCAAGACAGCCTTCCTCCTTGGATTTGTGTAATGTCTACCCCTTAGCAGACCTTCTGTCCACGATGGCTCCCACCCCAGGGCTTCACAGTCAGACTGAGAACCCCCTAGGAAGCCGAGCTAGGACTTGTTCATTGTCTTACATATCTAGCACAACAACTGATATGACCATAATGAATGCTAGTAGGAGAAAAAGTGGGTGACTGTTAGGGTTCCTGAGCCTCCTTATTCCCCAGGAAAAGGTGAGTGTGCTGTCTGCCCGTTTCCACAACCCCACTATGCAGGACAATCAGAGGCAAGAGTCGAGTCAAAGCAGGAACTCAGTTTATTACTGTGAGCATCTGTCAGCTTATAAAGGTTAAGTGACATCCTGTGATGTGGGGGTACCTCCAGCCCATGAGAGGCCACCAAACCCTCCTCTTGGCTGGAGGGGCATCTACCTACGTTTTGCTATCTCATCCTCACTCAAACTCGAACCAGGGTTTTCTCTGTCCTACAGGCCTCGTAGTATAGGCCCTGAGATAATTTTGGCCCAACAGGTGACTGCCCGCTTCTGGTTGCTAGTTCCTGGAATGGGTGTCAGGTGTTTGGCCTAATGAGACAATATTACATTTTCTTCTCATTTTCACCGCCCCAGCAAGACTGTTCCTCAAAAAGCAGGGATGGAATTGCAGCTTTTAATAAGTCCAGAGTCTGTGGATTTATTAAAGTCAGTACACGAGAAGGTCAGAAAGAATGAGATGGAGGGAAGGAAAGAGAGGAGGAAAGACAGAAGAATCTTTCCCAGATCCGTGGCAGGGCTAGTTTTAGTCTGGAGAAAATAATAATCACCTGCCTGCAGGCAGGTCAGGATTCTCTGCTTTCATTCCAGTGAGTCCCGAAGGCCATGAGACCAGTAGACCCCCGGATGGGTAAAGTCAGTTTATGTCGTTTTGCAAGCTTTAAAGTATTTGTCACCAGTGGTTTCTGAATTATTGTTCTTTCATTTTCAACACAAATGTGATGTCAGTATCTGGATTAAATTATTCTTGGCACTTGATTGCACCTCCTACTAATTAGCACATTTTTCTCCTTGTAGATTGCTGAGGAGTTGAAGCATGAATCATGAGCCCTCCTCATTCTAGTAGTTGTGTGTCTCTTTCAGTGCGCGCTAGTATTCCGGATCTGTGACTTTTTATAGACGTGTTTGCTTAGGGGTGAGGTAAAGGAAGGTAACACTGCAGGAAAATGTTTAAAAAAATAATTTTAGCAAGTGCAAACAGAGAGTTGACTTGGAGAAGTGTATTAAATATATAGCAACTGCGGTGGTGCATAGATCTTGGAGACATTGAGGTGGAGACAAATGTGTCTTTCCCATGCTTTCCTTTACTGCTTTCCATGGAGGATTCACAGGTCTCCTGGGAAGTGTGGTGTGATATAGGTGTCCTGATATGTTCAATCAAGGTTTTAGAACAGACTCCCTTCTCCGTGTGGCCATAGACCCTCCTGCCCATCAGGACCAGATTGCGGACCTAGAGCACCTCATGTTTCAGGAGCTGACTCTGAGCATCCTCTTAGGACCAGGCCAGAGGCATGCTTAGACAATGCGTCCTAGGAGCTTCTGATGTGGCCTAGAGTGCCCAGACTCTTCCATTCTGCTTCTAACTCATTCCTGAGAATGACCCGTGCTTTATGGAGAGACTTCAGTGATAGGTTTCGTTTCAGGAAATCTGCGGCATAAGCCTGGTTTAGTACCTTGCCTCCTGCAGGATTACATTGCATTCCTTAACTTTTCTGAACCTTCTCTTTATGTGTGAAGTGGATTTGCTTTGCCAATGACTTGAGGCTGCTGTGATGACTACACAGGATCTGTTTGGTAAAGTTAGTGGAAAAACTTGGCGTTGATTAAAGCTCCAAGTGCCCCAAGTGTTCCAAGTGAAGGTTGGCAGTTTATTTAAATTAGAGGTCTCTTCCTACACAGCACTCTGTGAATAAGGTCAGAGCTACAGTAAAAAAGAAATGAAAAGAAGCAAAAGAATCTGGCAAAATGTCAAGTGTCAATTGCAGAATGTGACGTGTGGTCACTGAGTTTGTGCCCTCTGTGGTTCACGCTGGACCAAAGTTCTGGTTAAACTTGCCTTATCCGTCTTTATCTATTTTCTTCTCTAAGTCATTCAGTGTTACTGCCAATGGTAACAGTGGCCCCTCACTGGACTCTAAGTAGCTGCCGTATCCCATACACAGTGCTCTCCATGCTCCGTCGACCCTCGCCACACTCCATGTCACTTGTGGACAGAAGTGAAGTGTGGGGAATGTAAATAGTATGTTAAGGTTGCATATTCAGAAGTTCCCAAGCCTTGACTAGTAGACTTGGTAGCCCCATTTGCCTGGATCCCAGGCTCTCAGCTTTTTTTTTTTTTGAGTAACTTTGATTTTTTTTGTGATGTAATTCCACATCAGCATCAGTAAATGGTTTCTAAAAACTATGTAATTGCTATACATTGTTCTAGATGAAACAAATATATCCTTGCCTTTGTCTCAGGAGCATACATTCTAGCTCAGTGGTAAATGAACTGAGTTTTAAGCTACGTTGGACAGCTTGACTCAGGCTCTCTTAGTTTTCTCATTTGAACCAATGAGTGAATCTGAGTAGTTGATCTGAAGTTTCCCCTAGCTTTGACTTCAAAATTCACGACAGAAAGCATAGGAATTCCTAGTCTTAAAACTCATTGTGAAATTGCTGGCAGCCTGTCTTTCTTCTTATTTGCGAGAACTACGGTGGGTTAGGATGCTCAAGTGTATATGTAGTGTATGTCTAGAGATTAGACCCCTAAGATTCTGGGTAGAAGTCATTTTGTTGGTCCTTCAGTCTTGGGTCAATTCCAGGCCGAATCTCTGAGGAATCCTTGAAATGGAAGACCCTGAGAGGTTGGGATTCTAGCTGACCTGTTAGTCTCTCATGATAATATGAAGGGGAGAATTGTGGGTCTGTCACACAGTGCTGTCCTTGGCATGCAGACTGCAGAGAACTCAGGAGGAGCTTGCTGACCAGATCTGTACAAACAGGAAGAATGGAAGAATGAGTGATGACTTTAGGAGGAGCTCTGCATTTGCAGCCTTACAGGGATGGGATTTCATGGAGGGTGAGCTTGTCTTGGCGACCAGGTCACCCAGTTCTACTTGAGAGCCAGCCCTTGGCGACATTACCACCATCATCACGATCATTACCATGGCAAGTTGGCTATGGACGGGGCACGTTGGTGTCACACTTAATCCCCATTCTTGCTCAGCATAATGTTAGATCTAGAAGCTCAATAAACTACAGAGGAAGGAATCAGGGGCATGTGAGAGCAGGGTGACTTCAGTTGTCGTTCCTACTCTACCTAATCCCAGTGATTCAAGTGTAAGACAATGGGTGTGATTCAGCTGAGCCTTTGGCTGACAAAGATGGAGCTAACCTGGTTTGAGTCCAAATTGCTTCTTGCCTTTGCTCGAATGAGTTTCAGAAATGCTTCTGAGTTCCAGAGATGCCTTAGCTGGTGTGGTTATGCTGTGCCTGGGCAGGCTGTTGTGGGCATGGGGATCTGCCCTTTTCCTTCCCTTCATTCCTCACTCCATCCTCCTTCTCTTTCTTTCCCCTTCTTTCTTCTCTTTTTAGTAACTCGTTTCTGATTCTTGAGCTTAATTACCTACTTTGATGTTTGTTGTAGAACAGGACAACTGTCCTTAGCTGGGCTCAGTGTTAGTGGGAATATTGGGACAGGTGTGGCCAGTGGAGCATTGCCACCCCTGCTGGAATGTGGCCTCGCCTCCTACTTGGTGACCTTCCCACATAGGAAATGGCAATTAGTATGGCCAGACTCTAGCAGGTATGGCCACAGCTTACCCAGGGTGAGCTAAGGCAGCCGCCTTCATTATCATCGTTGTTACAAGTTGGCTATGAGCAGGATGCATTGGTGTAGCCTTACTCTCTTCAGTTTTTCTTTCTTTCAAGTCTACATGTAAGCTTAAGATCCTAGATAAGCTCCAAGTAGAGTGGACACAGAACCCTGAGATTAGGAGCAAACCTCTGTGGCTGGAAAGGAGCAAGCAAAGTCTGGTAGTCCAACTTGGGAGCCATTATATTTGGGCTCATCATTCTCATCTATTTCTATGTACTCTGGTAGCCCTGGGGACACAGATATCATTTTTTTTTGTTTTTTGTTTTTGCTTTGTACACTTTTTTTTTGATGGCAGAGACAGATTTATGAGACCCTCAGAAGAACACAAGGGATGGTGGGTTTGGGAGAGTAAGGCCAAGAGAGAAACAGGTTCCCCACAGATCATCAACATTGAAAGGTTATGTCTGAGTTTGAAGCAGATCCCATCTCTTAAAAAATTGCCCATGGGGAAGACCACACACATCACCAGGGAATAGGACACTAGCAGGAAGCATGGCCTGGCCTACAAGGGTGATGGGGGTCATGGATCTGGCCTCACTCTGGCCACTGGTGAACGATGGAGATGAGCTGGTCAGCCACAGCAAAGACTGGGAGCAGCAGGCGAGGGAAAGACGTGCGGTGGATGTGAAGCACCGACCCTGAGGCAGGCTCACAGAAGACCAGCTCTCCTGCTTGGAGGTCCAGCAGCACGCCCAGCTGTGCTGGGCACCGAAGCAATGCCAGAGGCTCATGCTGCCCATTGTGTGAGAAATGGAACTCTTGAGCATAGCGGGAGAAGACCCAGGAGAAGGCATTGTGGCCCAGGTGGCAGTCACTGCTAGAGCCCTTTCGAGGCAGCTGGGCTGAGGTGACACCCACTTTATAAGCACAGCTGTGCTGAACATTCACTATCCAGGTGTGGAGTCCGGCCTGGAAGGTGGTGGCAGCCAAGGCATTAGGCCAGTGGTCAAAGCGTTCGGGGTCATCTGAGCAGGTCTTGGACTTCTTGGCACTGAAGGTCAGGGTCCGTCGAAAATCAGACAAATGCAATAAGGGGCTGACAGTCCTTTCATTGATATGCATCTCCTCCATGCCTGAGAGAGACCCGAGAACTGATGTTGCCCAGAGTTGAGTCAGTAGTGGACTCCAAGGACACTTCTCGTTAAAGCTTAATTTGCCCGACTCCTGGGGATCCAAAACGCCCTCTGCTTTCTCAGCCCTCTCAACAATCTCGTGTTCCTTCTGAATAAGCTGGAAGTCATCCAGATGGGTAAGCATGCCCACCAGGCTGGTACGGAGGGTGTCCAGCTTTTTCAGTGTTACACCTTAGTCACATGATCTGAAGTTTTGGACGTTCTTAGAGCCAGTTTCCCATTTTGTAAATTGAGATGTTAGCATACTTCTATCCATGGTGTTAGCGATTAACTGGTGTAAGCATTTGGACCATGCTGGGGTACGCAGTGCTGAAAGATGTAATGTCAAATTATTGATTACCACCATTCCTTCTCAATTTAAAGTTGCATCTGCCCCAGTTACACAGCCATTTTCAAGCTGACAGGCAGACGGCTGCTCTGATGACAATGACTGCAGACAAAGCTATTTTTGAAATGTGTCCTTACTTATATCAATGATATAGTTATTTAAAAGTAGACAAGAAATATATCTGGTCAGGTGTAGTGGGGTGTATCTTCAATCCCAGCACTGAGGCAGAGGCAGGTAGATCTCTGTGAGTTTGAGGCCAGCCTGGTCTACAGAATGAGTTCCAGAACAGCCAGAGCTACATAGTGAGACCATGTTTTTTAAAAAAAAAATAGAAAAAGAGAAATACAAATTCTCCTATCATAGTGCTATGAAGGCTTTGCTAGAAGAATACAATGGTTGGGTGAGGCTGGAGAGATGGTTCAGTGTACACTCACTGCATAATTGGAGGATTAGAGATCAGATCCCAGCATCATGAACCAAGACAGGTGTCCCATGCACACTGGTAACTCCAGTTCTGAGGGGTGATGGACACAGGAAGAACATTGGGTATCGCTAGATTCCAGTCTAGGTAAGCAGAAACTGCCGCCATGCCCCTCGTTCAGAAAGAGCTCATGCCTTGAAGGAATAGGAAGGGTGGTAGAGGAGACTGTCTCCTTCTGACCTCGGTGTGCATGTACACAAGTGTGCACTCATACGTACCGTCTCTCACAAACTGCTAAAGAGATTAATTTAAAATGAAGAAAATACAATGGTTGTGCACAGATATCTGCTTCCTGTTGTTTTTCATTTTCTTTCAGTAGTCTGAGCCAGAGAGCAATTTCGTAGGTAGAGGACCCTTCGTACCAGTAACCAACTTGGGAGTACTTAGAAAGTCACTTTTGAGAGGCTTGGTACATGCTAACCTCTTTTCTAAGCATGTTCACGTAATTAATTCACTCACCTTACCCCAGTTTTATTCACAAGAAAATGGAGTCAGAAAAGGACAGAAGCCGTAAATAGTAGACAGATCCTGTATACAGCTGCCAGTGTCAGCACATGCAGCGCTCTTGATATCTGCTCAACACTCTCAACAAATGTCAGTGTTATTCTGGGACTGACTGCTGGCTGTAGGGCTATGGAACTATTACTATTCTCATTATCTTTGCTACTCTCAGACTGTACGTGAGGTGTTCAGACGGGAGTCTTCATTTGGTTTGTCTTAGCAAAGTGATAATGGGATTTGTTTCAAGTTGGTTCAAGGTTCTGTTATATTACTCTATGGTTACAGAACATAGTCTTTTCCTTCTACTAAGTAAAACACACATCCTCTCCAGATTTTGCTTCTTCCTATTTCTTTAGCCAAAACACCATTTTCCCCTCTTGGTATGGTTGTTTCAAGTGGTACAATTTAGGCAAAATAGAACCACTTGTATGTAGAAGAACTAATTGAAGGAATGAGTTAGGATCTATAAGTTACTGTGTAATATCTCTGGTAGCCTTAAACTTTAACACTATTTACTAATAAATAGCCATAACTGGCATCTCTGTTGTACACTCACACAAGAAATAAATATAAATATCATTAAGTGACATTGTAGACACAAAAGTATACATGTGTGATGGGAACAGAAACTGATAGACAAGGGGCTGCTATGTTGAGTGTCCAGGAAGCTAAGGGAAGGCTTGGATCTGGGGCTGGAGGATAGATTGATTGATTTGGGATGGAGTGCATTGTAGGTAGACTGGAATGGAAGGTACAATCCAGAAACTTACGCTGGAATAAGAAAGAAAGACCTTACTCATTCATTGCTTTATTGACAAGAAGCAGCAGCTACAAAGCTGAGAATGACAGTTTCTACTCTCAAGGGTCTCACCTTGTAGTACGGAGTACAGGAATGCAATGGATACTCGTGAGACGGTTTACTAGACACACACACACACACACACACACTATGGGAACTCTCACAAAGAGCAGAAGTGGAGATCAGCATACCTTCTGATCTCTGTAATGATGACTCTATTTGACTGATCACATTGGTGTGTCTACATCATAAAGAAAAGATGCTTGGGTCAGGATCCTTCAGAGATACGTTAGAGGGCAAACCAGGTAAAGGCAGGCAGACCGGAAAGGCTATGTAGAAGTGTGCTGGTGGCAAGGCATTTTTGCAGGCCACTCTAGTGGTACGAAAGGGTGCCCATGACGTGGGTCATGTCACACAGGGTGTCTGAAAATCATGTTAAGAGGGTCTTGAAGATTTTTTTATACAGTATAGTTCGATCATGGTTTTCCTCCTCTAGCTCCTCTCAGATCCTCCTCACCTCCCCTGGGATCCAACTCCACACCCTTTCTTTTTTCTCTCTTTAGAAAGCAAACAGACAAACAAAAAACAAAAGCCAAACCAAAAATATATATAAAAAACTCACAAGAAGTACACACACCCAACAAATAAAAACCCACAAATAAGAAACCTTAATATACAAGGAAAAGATCAGTAAGGCAAAGACAAAGTCCAAACAAAGCAATATGAAACAAAAAGTCTACTAAAATACTATTGAGTTCATGTTTTTTTTTTTTTGTCATCTACTGCTGGGTATAGGGGCCTACTTTTTCCTTCCTTCTTTTCTTCCTTCCTTCCTTCCTTTCTTTTTTCTTTTTTCTTTTTTGAGACAGGATTTCTCTGTGTAACAGCCTTAGCTGTCCTAGAACTAACTCTGTAGACCAGGCTGACCTTGACCTCACAGAGATCCACCTGCCTCTGACTCCTGAGTGCTGGGATTAAGACCTATGCCACCATTGACCTCTTTCTTTCTTTCTTTCTTTCTTTCTTTCTTTCTTTCTTTCTT